GCGACATTCAGGACTGCTGAGGAGCTTCGAGCATTAAGTGGCATGTGCTCATGCAGGATAATAGCATGGAAAAAAATATACACGTTTTAGCAATTAATTCGAATAATAATAAAAATAATTTTAATAATTGGATACAAGAATTTATAAAGCCAAGCTTTAATGTAAAGCAAAGTAATATGAAAAATTTTACAGCAACTGATGAACATTACAAGTTCCCTCTACAACAAAGACTATTGAAATCGAAAATAGTTTGAGTTAAAAGACATAAATTAGCACTAGTCCGCCTATTGCTCATGCAGTGAACACCAATTTAGTAGATAAAATAGAAATATATATTTTTCGGTCTGATGATGGGATGATGCATTCCAATATATCAGATGAATCAAAAGCAAATCATGCTATAATCGCTTTAGCCTGACACTAATCAAAAAGCCTTCTAACCTTGAAAGTCACAGCTACCTGAGTACTCATCGCTTTGTTTAACGTACAATATCTGCTTTGAATCTCGATGACGGTGGAGATGAGATCCATATGATGTAAAACAACAATCCGCCCTGAATGAGAAGGTTTTGGTAGCAAAAGCATGGCAGAGTGGGACTTTACACATGATTCTGAGCAGCTTAATTATGAAGGAAATTTAGATTAAAAATTAAATCGCGGATTAAAACTAATCTCAATAGTTTTAATAATGCAATGATTATTTCATAAATAAACTAAAGTGTAATGATTATTTCATCCAATATCGAATCCATACTATCCTCTATTCATAGAGTTCTAAAATTAAATGAAACCAAGGTAATTTTCATCCGAGTTTAATGAGAATTCAATAAAAGCCTCATTTTAGCCAGAGTCGGTGGCAACCAACAAATAAATAAATTATTGAAGAAGCCAGTCAAAGCTCAGGCCTGCCTCTTGTTTAGAGGCAACGATCAAAATTAGTTGAATATAGTAAAATGGATAGAAGTTCCCCAAAAATGGGAATACGGGAGTCATGAGATGGAAAAACAGGAAGGAATTGGCTTAAGAATATTTTGAAAATATGGCGAATAAGAGGTAAAATAATTATTAATGAACGTATACATGAGTTACCTTTAGTACAGCATTCGTGATTGAGCGGAGAGCACTGGGCACCGGGTCGCAGTTGACAGTGGGAAGAACAACAAGGATCGCCGTCACCCGGCTCACCCGACTCAACTTCAATCTCCCGGTCGTTTTTACTGCCCCCACCACCGACATCGCAGGTCTCCCCAACATCGACGCGAAGATTTCCGCAAAAGCCAGATTGTGTTTCGGCCAGAGAATCAAAACAGAGTGGAGCACGCGACTCGAGAGAGATGCCGATCGCCCGTTGGCTACATGGAGAGAACTTCTGCATTCAGATGGTTAAGCAGTGAATAAAAGGTACATGAAATGAAGTTGAATAGATAAAAATAAGACAATGTGAAGTCATAAAAAATG